GTGCTCAGATGTGGGAGGGATGGGCAGACAGCTCTGCATGGCTCCAGGCCCCAGCTCTGGGCTGGAAGTCTCTTGCAAGTGTGATAGCTCCAAGAGTGTGATCCACAGGCCTGGAAGACCTCTCCACAGATCCCCTGCACGGCCACCTCCCTCCCATCTGTCAGGAGAGTACCCGAGACACTAGGCGGGTGTGGCTCATTTGATACGCATCTGCCTAGCATTCGCCGTGTTCCCGAACTGCGTTAACGGGGTACGATGGCGCATACCTGAATCACGACACTCAGGAAATGACCAGGAATGCAAGGCCATCCTCGGCTTTAGCACGCTTGAGACCAGCCTGGGATACCAGAGAACTGAGACACTCTCTCTTCTCCCTACCCCCTCAAAAACAGAGATGGAGGAGGCTGCGGTTGATGGTGACAATGGGGAGTGACCCGTGCTCTTACCTCACTCACACTCTTACTCCATCCCACAGAGCAGAGCTGGAGTAGGCTGGGGTGGCGGCGGTCCTTTCCCCAAGGTTGCTCTGTGCTGCTGAGCTCCCCAACCAAGGAGCATGAGCACACCGGAAGCCCGGCGCAATAATCCTGCCTCCAGAAGGCTCCCGATCTCGTCTAGGCCTCTTGACTGGGGACAGGCAGTTTCTTATTGCAGGAGAGACAGAGGGTAGGCAGGGTCTGAGGCTGGGCAGCCAGTGCCCTGTGGGTACCGGGCTCCAGAACGAGGGCAGAGGCTGGAGGTGAACTGGAATAAAGACCCAGGCATCAGGGCATCTCCTCTCTTATGTAGGTCTCAAATGCCTCCTGGTGCTGTGGCCACCTGGAGTCAGCCACCCCAACTTCACAGTCTGGGATTGTCATTCACACAATGCATCAGGAAGGGTTTTATTTGTTTCTTTGTATTTGTTTTAACTTTTTAAGATCAATTCATTCTATTGTATGTGTGCTAGTGTTTTTTGCCTGCATAAGTATATATGTACATTCATCATGTGCATGTCTGGTGCCTGCAGAGGTCAGAAGAGGGAGATCGGAGGCTTTGGGGCTAAAGGTACAGATAGTTGTAAATCTCACCATCTGAGTGCTGGGAACCCAAACAAATCTTTTGCAAGAGCAACAAACGCTCTTGACCGCTGGTTTTCGGGGTTTTTGTTGGTTTGTTTTGTTGTTGTTGTTGCTGTTGTTGCTTTTGCAGAGACGGGGCCTCACTGTTGTTGAGGCTGGCCTCAATACATGGCAATCCTCCTGCCTCAGCCTCCCGACTCTGGGATTCCATGTGTGTGCTTCCACGTCCCTTTTAGGAGGGTGGGGGCTTTTATTTGTTTGTTTGGGGGGATCGGTACCCTCAAACTCACTATATAATGAAGATGGCCTTGATCTTCTGATCTCCCTGTCTCAGCCCAACCAGCTGAGATCACAGTTGTGTACCCACACACCATTTTAGGAAGGTTTTTTATTATCATCAATTTGCAGATAAGCCTGGGAAATCAGCAGGGAAGGCGCATAGCACAGTTTCCGTTATCAGTTCGTAAGCTCCGACCTTGCCTGCTTGCCCTTCCAGAAGCAGCAGCCTGTCTTGTTCTGTTTCTCTCTGTCCCTCTCAGATCCCTCCCACGTCACTCGAACACGTTCATCCTCTCGCTCCTATCCTCCCTGTGCGCACATCCTGTCTCAGCCCTCTGACCCGGCGGCTCCAGCCTCTACTCTCTGTCCTCTGTCTCTTTGGGCGCATCACCGGCGCCCAGTAAGGCCAGCACAGTCCTGCCTCAGGGCCTGAGGGACTATCTAGCAGGTCAAAGTAGGACCAGGGACTCTGCTAGCCCACCCACCCACATCAAGAGGAGAGGTGAAGGACTAGAGGGTGCTCATTTGAAAAGTCTGCCAAGCATTCACCCAGCCCCAGCACTGCGCTAGTGGGGTGTGGTGGACTCCCATCACCCATAGGTGCAATGCTCAGAAAAAATGGAAGAAGGAAGTGGGGCCAGGAGGGAAGCCGGACTTGGAGATAAGGGAGGGCTTCAGTCCTCATGGGATCCTGCTTGAAGAGGACAGCTACAGAGGGAAGCATGGGCATGGGGTGTTTTCTCGAACCAGAAATGAATATTTACATATACTGTACCCATAGGCTCCCTGGTGGCTGAGGAAGCCCGCGTCTGGCTGAGAGTGGGGCTCAAGTGGAAGAGCACTTGCCTAGCATTCACGAGGCCCTGGATTCTATGCCTAGCACAGTAAAAAAAAAAAAAAAAAAAAAAAATACAGAGCTGGATATGGCGGTGCATTCCTTTAATCCTAGCACTTGGGGCAGAGGCAAGTAGATCTCTGTGAGTTTGAGACCAGCCTGGTCTACATAGTGAATTCTAGGACACCCAAGGCTATATAGAGAGACCTTGTCTCCAATAAATAAATAAAAATAAAACTAAGAATATTTTCAAATGTTTGTTTATTTAATGTGTATGGGTAGTTTTATCTGCATGTATGGTTGAGCACCATGTGTATGCCTGATGCCCCTAGAGGCCAGAAGAGGGCATCAGATCCCTGGGGACTGGAGTTACAGACAGTGGTGAGGCACCATGTGGGTGCTGAGGACTGAACCCAGGTCCTCCGCAAGAGCAGCAGTGGTCTTAACCACTGAGCCGTCTCTCCAGCCCCATGAAGAGAATGTTAAAAGGAAGCCAGCGCCTTTGCACGCGGATGGGGACGGCTCATAGTGGTGAAAACAGTGGTGCAGGAAGAGTGTGCCTACAGGGGGAGAGGTCACTGGGTGCCCCCCCGCTGTCGCCAGCTCCTCCCCTGCTCACCCAGCAGTGGCCCTGGTCCTTTCTCATGACACCTTCAATCCGTACATCCAAGGTGTTTCCACACTCAGCCACTGCTTATGTAGTGCCTGAAACTCTGAGACGGTTATCCATTCTAAGTTACCTACTTCTCTTATAAACTGTCGTAGACTTATAAAATCCAAAAGCATTTTTCCTCATTTGCAACAACAACAACAACAACAAATGAAAGAGAGAGGCTGCAGGCAGCTGACACGGAATAACTTTCTGTCCCCACCCCGTGAGTGTGTGTATGTGTGCATGCACACTCTCAATGCACTGATAGCAGAAGCCAACTTCAGGTGTTCTTGCTCAAGGGCCACCTGCCTGATGTGTGTGTGTGTGTGTGTGTGTGTGTGTGTGTGTGTGTGTGTGTGTGAATGTCATGTGTTTGTGGGTGGCAGATGAGGTCAGAAGAGGGCGTTGGATGCCTTGGAACTGAAGTCACAGGCAGTTGTGAGTCACCTGATGTGAGTGCTGGGAACTGACTCGGGTCCTCCAGAAGAGCCCCCCCCCCACGCCCTTCACTGCTGAGCCATCTGCCCAGCCATTGGCCATTTTTTTTTTTTTTTGAGAGGGAGGGTCTCTCGTGGAGACCTCCGATTGAGCACCTTAGGCTGGCTGAGAAGAGTCGCAGAAACACTCTCCTTCTGCTACCTCCCCAGTGCTGGGGTTACAATCACATGCCGCAAAGGTGGCCTTTCCCGTGGGCCTGGGGATTGAACTCAGGCCCCTGCGCTTATACCACCCAGCACTGTACTGACGGATCCATCTCCCTGGCCCCTCAATCCGACTTTTAAAAAGTCAGCCTCAGGCATCACTTGATGGATGACACAACTCTATTTTAGGTTAGCAACAGTCAAAAAATGACTTTGGATTTGTCAAGGTGCTAAAAATAACCACCCTGTCTAACGTTTGTCTGAATTGTCTGTCTCTGAAGCAAAAACTACTTTTCCATTCTTTTCATGTTTCCCAGCATTCCCTGGCTCAGATCCGCACCACGTATTATAGCGGGAAATTATGCTTTTTCTTTTTTATTTTTAACTATGTGTGCGTTGAGTTCAGGTGTCCTTGGTGGCCGGAGGCACCTAATGCTGGTGAAGCTGGAGTTACAGGCAGTTGTGGGCCACCCAGCCTGGGTGCTGGGAATCGAACTCTAGTCCTTTGCGAGAGCAACAAGCACTCTCAAGTGTGGAGCCATCTCTCCAGCCTCCTTTATTGTCCCCCACCCACCCCAGGTTTGAGACAGGGTCTCCTCAGGTAGTCTAGGCTGGCCTGGGGTTCAGCACAGACCAGGCTGACCTCAGACTCACGCCAATTCTCCTTCCCCAGCCTCTCTGTGCCACGACACCGGGGTGTCATGGCTTTTTAATTCTGTCATCCTCCTCAAGTTTTGTCCCTCTATCTTGATGGCCAACATCTGAGGGCAAGAGTGGTGATATCCCCTGTGCAAAGCAGGTTCTCTGGGCAGCAGGCAGGGACTGGGCACCTTGGCCTTTCCTAGAACACAGAAGTGCTTTGGCTAAGTCCTTCCACGCAGCAGCTCTGGGCAAAGGTGACTGCAGCGCTTACTGGCTGGCCCCTGGGCTCACTTCTAGCTCCCGACACTCTTCTAAAATCTGGCCAGTTTTATCCTCTTTTGTCCACCGTAACCACACCCTAGACTCCCTTTAACAATCCCTTAGCCAAGGATGCTTGAAATTCTAAGGCCTCCAAGCACTCCAAGCACATGGAAGGGGGCCAAGGGGAGTGATGCTGGCCCCAGAGTCACTTTACCCTTGTGGAAAGATAAGTGAAGAACTTGGAGCCAGACCTGAGGAAAAGGTTGGGTCAGAGGTCGTGGGGGTGGGGGGTAGCCTGGTGGCCTTCAGGGACAAGGCCTGAGTTCCACCCAGAGTCAGGGCCCATCAGGCAAAATACATCGCACAGCCGGCCTTTTGGGGAACCGGGGCTGCGTGGGTGCGGCCCCAGCGGGCAGTCAGGTACGCAGCGCGCGTGGCCCTGCGGCGCAGCGTGCCAGGTGGTGCGGGAAGCCCACAGCCGTGCCAGGCTGGGCACAACAAAAGCCGGGGTTCTGGGGAGGGCTGGGCGGCGCGGGAGGAGGGCTGCTGGGAGCGCCCGGCCTGCACTGGCCGCCAGCCACCGAGAGGAGGAGCAGAGGATCCTCGGAGCGCAATAAAACGGCGGCTCGGCCCGAGCCCGCAGCAAACACAGCCATAGAAGGCAGCGGAGGAGCCGAGCCGGGCTGCGCTCGCTCGCCGCCCCCCAGCCTCTTTCTTCTCCGCCGGGTGCACTGCTCCGCGCCCTCTCCTCGCCGCTTCCCCCTTAGACAAAGAGGACAGAAAGTTTGTGCGGGGGAGCGGGCCAGGTGAGGAGGGGCGTGCCCGGCCCCCCAGCCCGCGCCACAGCAGCCGGACACAGGCCCCCAGCGCGCCATGGGCGCCGCGGCCCGCAGCCTTCGGCTGGCGCTCGGCCTCCTGCTGCTGGCCACGCTGCTGCGCCGGGCCGACGCCTGCAGCTGCTCCCCGGTGCACCCGCAACAGGCGTTTTGCAATGCAGACGTAGGTAAGCAGCTGTACCCGGTTCGCGCGGCCCACCTCCCTGACCGTGCAGCTGGCTAGGGCTCCCTCTGCCATCCTGCAACTGAACGCCCCAAGCGCACTTTCTCCCTCCTCCGTCCCCCGTGTCTCTTTCTTCCCCTCTCTGAGCTGGGAGATGCTTGGCGACCTCAAAATTCCACCGAAATTCCGCAGCAGCTCCGGCCCCAGGAAAGGGAGCCAGGGAACGCTCGGATGTTGGCAGGCGGCCTCCCTGGGATGCCAGTGCTGGGGGCGGGGAGTAGGGGACACACGCGGGGTGCGATGGCTAAAGGACTGGAAACCTCGGGAAGAAACTTCCACAGGTGAGGGGGTGGCTGTGTGAGGAGGGCTTCTCCGCAGCCATTTGGGAGTTTTTGCGTTTGGCCGGGCAGAATGGAAGCCCCCTGTGCAGATCCCATGAGCTCAGAGGGACCGAGAGAGGCTGCTAGAGCCCACCTCCCTACTGCGTGTCCCCTGGAAGGCCCCACCAACAGGGCCAGGCGGGGTCCAGAGCCTGAGTGTCTGCTGCTGTCGACTTTTTTTTTCAGAACACACACACACACACACACACACACACACACACACACACACGCCACGGCGGGTGGGGGGGGACTTGGTGACTATGGGGGTCACGGGATTGTACGGCTGCTTAGGTTGCCCAGCATGTATGTTCCTCTCAGGACTCCTTGACCCAGGACTACCTAGCGAGCCAGGTAGGAGGGACATGGTTATATGGTCTGGAAAAGCTGGTAGAAGTGGAAGGCTCCACTTGGAGTTGACCTGAAGGCCTCTCCAGCGCCGGGCAGACTCGGGTATCCAGCAGGTGAGGCTCTGGTTCCCATGCCACCTTCCCTGTGGTTTTGGCTTCTGTGTCCCATCTATCCTGAGTTATCCTGTGCCCCTCTCCCACCCAGACTGAAGCCGCGGTGCCTGTTTCTCCAGGTATCAGAAATGCCCTCTTGATAACCCCTTCCTGTGGCTCCTTGCCCCACCCTGGTTAGCTCTTCGGAGAGTTTTTAGGTGAACCTGTCGGTAGGGCTATCTAACTGAGCCTACCTGGGCATAGGGCGTGGTGTGTGCCTGTGGAGTGGTTTGCAAATACTTATTTGGGGGGAACGAGAGCTTTTGTCCCGTTTAGCTCTGGTAACCAGCAAAATTGGGGGTTGAAGAAATGGCCCCCTGCAATGAGGGAATCACTAGTGTTTTTCCTCAGGACCATCCTTTGGGAGTACAGGAGTGTAAGGCCCCTTTGTAGAGACCTCACTTCTGACCAGCAAATTGTAGGGAACTCAGAGAAAAGCAGCACGCAGGACTCAGAGGCCTGGTTCACAGGGGCCAGGTGGGAAAGAACCGGCCTGGGATGCCCACAGCGCTGGCGGCAAGTGTGTGTGTGGGGTGCTTTGCCAGGACAAGGCAACACCAGGCTGGGAGATGTCCTAGCCTGGTCTGGACCAGAGGTCTGAGGCTCGTGTCGGTGCCTAGAGGGCCCTTCCTGCTTGTGCATTGCTCTCCTCTGCCTGGATTCCCCAGCATGGGTGTCCAGAGCATTGCATCTAAGTCACCATGAGGCCAAGACTCTGAGCTCATCCCAGCACAGAGGCCTAATCCCACAGCAAAGCTGTGTCTCCTGTGGCCGCTGTGACAGACGACCACAAATGGGTGCCCCAAAGCAATGGAGCTGACTGTCTCGTGGTCCAGGAGTTCCAAAGCCTAAACTCCAGATGATGGCAGGGCTGACTCCTTTTGGGGGTCTGAGGGAGGGCCTGGCCCAGGCCCCCCTCCCAGTGTGGAGGGAGGCACTTCTGGTACTCCTTAGTGTTCGGGGGTGGGGTAGAGGATGAACCCGTCCACCTCTATTCTACATACAGCTGTGCCTCCTCTTATAAGGACACAAACCATTGGATTCAGTGATCCTTGAACCCTTTCTGACTTGATTACGTCAGCAGAGATGTCCCAGTAGGGTTACATTCACAGGTTCTGGCTGGCTGTGAACTTGTGGGGGAGGCAATGTCAACTCAGCACAGTCAGGATGTTCGACGTGAGCCCTCCCCACCTCTTCCAGGATTGACCAGCTTGGACTGAAAAGTGGCTGACACCCTCGGGTAGGGAGCTGCAATGAACCGTCGGTACTGGCCTGTCACAGGGCTCTGTTCTCCTGGAAGTGGTACAGATGTGTGACTTGCTCAGAGGGGTGGCCTGGTCTGGCCGGGGTCAGAACTGCCCAGTGCTCTCTCTTGAGTTCCCAAGCTGATATGGAAGGCCTGGCCCAGACTGGAGCTGCCCCAGTTTTCGGAGCACCTCAGATTTCGTACACCCAGAACCATGACCCAGAAGCCTGGAAAGGGTGCACATCGGGGGTTAATAAAGGCTAGCTTTTCCTGTGGCTGCTGCACGCACACAGCTTTGCTGACTGGGTCAGCATCTGCTTGGGAATGGATTCCTGGGAGGGCTCTCTCTGCCAGTGGCAGGTCTGGAGCTCTGGTGGGCAAAGAGAGTCGCTGGGGGGGGGGGGCGGGTAACTCTTGAAAGGCCCCGGTCTCTGTGCTTTCCAGTCAGGACACATAGGAGACATGTGTCTGCATCCTGCTCAGGCACGCCGCTGGTCTGATTCCCTCACTAATGCAGTCTTTCACTGCCTGTTGCAAGCCATGGAACCTGGAGTGACTGAATCCGCTGAGCTACTTGGCAGACTCTGGCTACTTTGACTGCTTTCTGGAATCATGGGTATTCAGGAATGGGGGTGGGGGAACACCCACCCCCTTCTGCGCAGGTAGTGAGGCCTGAAACCATAGTCAAGACCCAACGGGCCAGCTGTGGGTCCCAGGGTGGTGGTGGTGGGGCACACTGGCTTTTTATGGGGCTTGTTTGTATTTGTGTATGTGGTGATGGAGACCAGAGAGGTAGGAATGGCCACTCCAGAAAGCACGAAGCACGTGCACTCGGTTGTCTTTGTTGACTCATGTAAAAAGCAAAGCGAGGCACCCAGGCCCTGTGAGCTTTGCAGGACTCTGGCGGATGGTGGCTCTCTGAAGAAGCCGCTGGCGGCAGGTGCAGGCTCTTCCTGGGTCCCCAGGCATGTGGTTTCATACTGGGCTTGTCTGTTCCAATGAACAAGTCCAGAGTGGCTGGCTCTGCCTTACAGGGATGTAAGGCAGAACTGAGCCCCTGGCAAGGGAAAAACCCAGCACCAGAACAGGGAACAGTAGAGGTGGGTTTAAAGGATCAGAGGCGTCCGCAGACCCTTGCCGATGGCCGGCAGATGGCCAGGGGAAGGTGTGAAGCAAGCCAGACTTTGTGCAGTCCATGAAAATGATTAACTTTAGTGATAAACTTGCCACATTCAGGGGTAGGCACATAGCAACTTGAAGTGGATTGGCACGTTACAAAGGTAAGAATTCTGGTGACCACTGGGGGGGGGGGGGGGGCTGTGGGAACACTGACTGGTACCCGGGATGGATGTCTTCTGCTGGGGAGCGTCAGGAATCTGAGTGGCAGCTCCCAGGGTTGAAGTGCCAATAAAACAGGGAGGTGTGGACCCTCCCACACCACATAGCTGAGCTCCGTGCCAGCCTGGGACCTGCTCAGGCCTCTGAAATTCACATCTCCTGGTCAAGTTCCCCAGCACTGGCCTGCAGGGGGCCTAGGTCTCAGCCTTCCTTCACCTCACCTTCATTTGGACCTCCATAGGCTTTGAGCAAGAACTTGAGATGGGACTTTAGGTCAGAGGAGCCGCTGCCTAGATCTGGTGGGGGATCTTAGACTAGTGCCTAAAGCTGTGGACCGCTTGTATTGGAACACATTTGAGAGATGTGTTTCAGGGCCCCAGGAATCTCAATGGATGAGATGGGGGAAAAAGAAAACAGCAAAGGAAGAAACAAAAGGGAGGAGGGAGGTACAGGCAATCTGGCAGAAGGAGGAGGGTCATGTGGGAGCCCTTCCCCAGCCCAGGAGCTAGACTCAAAAGCTTACAGTGTGTGCTCCTCTGCCCCTGGTGCACACACACACACACACACACACACACACACACACACACGCCCAGGACCAGGCAGCCCATGGCTAGGATAGTATTTCTCCAGAGGGAGGAAGTGAGACATGGAGGGGAGGCAGTGTAGAGGACACAGACTAGGAAAGAAGGCTCCAGGCACGGCTAAGCGCACCTTGATGGCGTCAAGAGTGAGCATCGGTGGTGGATGGGCTGGATTGAGTGAGAGAACTGTAGGTGCACAGTGGCTGAGGAAGAGGCACGAAGTGGCTGGTGCAGACTGGGGTCAAGTGTCATCACTCCGACTGGTCACATGGTCACATGGTGCATTCTATCCCACGGTGGACCCACAGCAAGTCCCTGAGGACACTCAGGCTGTAGATTGGTGGCCGGAATCATCACCACCTGGAGCCTTGAGACCTGAGTGTGGTTATTGGGATTTTTAAGACGGTCCAGCAATTCTGCTGGTGTTCTGCCCATGATGGTGCGGAGCAGTGGGGTCCCCAAGACGATATGACAGCAGCAGAGGCTAGAGATGGACTGATGAGCACCGTGTTTATTCAGATGCAGTGTTTAATGGCTACCTATCTGATGAGAGTGCTTGGCCAGGATCTTGGTGTGGTTGCTGGGTCTGCACAAGAACGGTGGAGCCTGTGAGTGTCCCCAGGTGTAGTGAGGGGAATCCAGCAGATGAGATAAATGCCTAAGCCACCAGGAGGAGAGGTGGTCAACGAATTGGAAAGAAGGCAGATTTCTAGAGCGAGCATGGCCATGACGCACAGTGTGTCAGGAGAGTCTGGTATAGAGCCAGCACCTGCAGCCCTGAACCTCTTGGAACACATTCAGAAGAACACCTCCACCCCAGCCTGAGCTGGCTGGGGTCCATACAGCCTGCTGTCCCAGCCTGATGGGTGGGTCTCTGTCATTGCTCTGCCCAGGGGTGGAAGGGCATGGGATGGGTGCTCTGTGCAGGGGTGGAAGGGCATGGGATGGGTGCTTCCGCA